GCCCCTCTGCCCCAGCGCTGGGCTGGAGATCTGGATCATCTGCCCCTCTGCCCCACTATGGGACAGTGATCCGGAACGTCAGCTCCTCTCTCCGAGAGCTGGGGCAGAGATTCAGAGATCCTGAATATGCCCCATTGGCACCTCAGGAAATGGTGTCATGTGACAACCAGGCTATGGTCTTGCTGCCATTGGTGTGCATGACTTTCATTTCAGCTTTTTTCTCACTCCTTCACCTGTCGTCAGGGACATTTGTAGACTCATAATGCTAAGATCGCAGGTTTTCAAACCTGCATTTGACCTGCAGAATCATTGTGGCTCACTGGGCTCACACTGCCCAGACTTCAGATGAAGCTTACAGTGCTCCAGGACTTCTGAGTTAGAGACAGGTGCTTCTGCTAGGGGGATCTAGAAAGCCTCTGAACATGATCCAGTAGTTCAAATCAAACTCCATTTCCGAAGCAGCTGGTGCAGGCTGCACTGACTGGGCCGCAGGGGTCACAGGAAGCTGGGCTGATGAATACTGCTGGCCTGGGTTGCTTCAGATGTTATTATGTCACAGGCCGTGTGAACGAAGTGACGAGTCCTTTCAGACTGTACGGTAAAGTTTATGAATTTGATTTTTTTGCTGTTGCATAATACTAAGCACACCGCAATACAGCTGTCAAAGCAAGACAGCACGTGGGGCATGGTTGCCATCACGTTCTGGCTGTGCTTTTTTAGGGTTTGGAGGAGGAGGAGAATTTGGGCAAAATAGGGTAATAGATTTCATTTAACAGCAGTTGATGACACATTCACTAAGTTCAGGTGGGTAACTAAAGGTTTATTCCATGCTGAAAGGAAAAGACCAGAGACACGAGACTTTTGTGTCTCTTTTGCTTTCCTTTCAGCATGGGACTAATTCATAATGTGGATAACTGCCAATATTAGTGAAGGAATTAAAACAGAGGGAAAAAAACCCATCACATTCAGGATATCTTCTATTTCTATTGCCACTTCATGTGCGAATGTTGTATTTTAGTGCTACCTAATGGTAATTAAGAAAATGATTGCACTGTCTGGCAAAGAACTAACACTCAGTTTGCTCATTGATTTATTTCAGTTTTGCAAAACCTGTCCTGTTTCACCGGGTCCAGCTCTTACAAGGCCAGCTGGTGACCTACATGAAATCCAATTGTCATGTTGGCGCTAGGGCAAGGAGTGCTCTGGGGATTGCTGTGATACATCTGAGCCACTAGGGGGCACACACTCACTGTGTCTCCTCGACTGCACTGGAAATCCAGGCCCAGTGAAGTGAGGTCCCTTGCTGAAGCACGCAGTGTGTTTCAGAGGTAATAAAACCCAGGTTCTGTCTGTCACCTCTATAGCAGGAGAGGCAGGATTCTAAAGTGCTGCTCTTTGTCCTCTGATCCCCGCAGTTCATCCCTTTCACAGGCCTTACCTGTTGTTAGGTGTGGCACAGTGAGCCTCCAGAGGAGATCGGACCTCAGCAAGTCGGTGGGGTGTCTGGAGACTGCAGAGCACTCTGAGAAGTGGGTTAATCACAGTCATAATAGGCAGCGTACCAACTTAATTAAGGAGAACAATAGTTCAGAGCAGATAAGCACTGCTATTAGGGTCAGAAAATATTGCTGGGCTACTGAGATATATAAAGGTAAAAGTCAGCTGTGTCTGCACTAATATCTAAGCTCAGAGGAAAAGACATCATGACATACTCATGGTCTGACCTGCACGCTGTGGTTCCTGAGATGCCCAGAGATACAACTGGATTCCAGAAGAACGGTTCATTCTTTAAAAAGGAACATGCCAATCCGTCTGAACTCTTCTGTGGGAAATGGGCTGAAGTCCAGGCTGGTGCTCCTGGTTCATAGGAACGCCTCTCTGCCTACTGGTGTCTCAGCGTGACCAGACTGAGACTGGATTATGATCCCCTGTCCGATCCCAGGGTAAGATGAGCTGCTGGCAGGTCGTGGCTGGTCTGTGAGCAGCTCGGTGGGGAGATGTGACTGGGGCGCCCCTGGCCTTGCTGCAGGCACAAGCATGTGCCCCTGGGCAGACGACAGCACAGGTCTTGGAAGGATCTTTCCAGGGAGGACTCTCAGCCTTTGATCCAGAGCTGTTATTGCTGCAATGGGAGCACAACAAAGACCCAGAGGATTCTCTGCTGGTCACGGCTGCGTTGGTATAGATGGGTGCAGCCATGCTGAAGAGCCCAGACCACAGGCGCTAATGTCATGAAAAGGCCTGAGCCCTGAAGTCCACAACGCTTTGTGTACTTCTCCTGTACGCTTTTTGTTTCTCTTGTATGAGATGCCTCCTGCTGTGCTGTATCACACAACAAAACTGAAGCACTGCAGTGTGTGTACTGCTTCCAATCAGAGCTAAACCCAGGGGTGCCAGTACTGAATGTCTGCAGCATCTAATGAGCTGCACACATAAGTGCTGGAAGTCCCTATGTGCCTCTAATTCACTTAGAATGTATTTTTATGAGATGCTAGTGGAAATCTGTTCCCAGTGTGCTTGAAAAAGACATCACTTGTTGTCTTGATTGTTTATAACCAAAACGTATTAACTCAATAAGATAAGATCACTTTATTAGTCATATACAATTTCTTGTATTAGAAATTTGTCTTTTCACATACCCCAGCTCACTCTCCATGAAACACACAGACATGGAGAAAAGCTGGCAGGTCAGCCATATATAAGGCACCTCTGGAGCAGTTGAGGTTAAGGGCCTTGCTCAGGGGCCCAAGGGAGTAGGATTCCTCTGCAGCGCAGATCCTTAGCCACAGAGCCACCTCTCCCCTCTGCAACGACTGGGACTGTGGCTTTGTTCTACTTTTTTCTATCCTACTTTCCTTGATTGCTGTAGTTAAGCAGTTTCCTCCTCCTCCTCCACTGTTCTGTAAAGTCCAACAAGTCCTTTCCAGCCACACGGCTAATTTGCTCTTTGTTCCAGGTACCACTTTCTCCTGCCTTCAAGACTAAATGCGTCTCCTCTCTGTTTGCACGTGCATTCCCTGGAAACTTGATTCACGGCTGAGCTTCAGGTATTCTGCAAGATCCCAGACTGAAGTTCAGCCAGGAAGCCAGGGCTGAACCCTCTGCTCTTTTGTGGAATGCCAGGGTTTATTTCATGGCCCTGTTCCTTTAAGAAACGTGCCTCTCAGAACAAAATATTTAACTGTTTTGCGTGAAT